CGACCTCCGTGCATGCCTGTGCATTTACTGGCATTGGTGATAAAAATTGAAGGGCGGGAGGGATTTGAGTGATTAGCGGTTGTTACTGGGCGAACCCAGAGGTCCTTTTCTTTCAGGATCTGCTTCGTCCCCACCAAGTAGGTCTGCAGTACTTCTGCTTCCTGAGGGGTTGCTTCGTTCCCACAGCCTTCATCATGCGGACAAGCTCCTGATGATCGTCCTGTATCTTCCGATCAAGCCACATTGCATCCCTCTTCAACTGTCTGATGCACGCATCCACTTGACCTTCAGGGGACGTGAAGTTGATCTGCGGCTCTTTGTTGAGAATCTGCCTGCGTATTGAGTCCAATGCCCCAATCTGCAACACTGGATCGGGCAGTGTGACTCCCAACTCCATTGCCCTCGCCACATTTCGGGACCAGAGGCGAAGCTTCTCGACCCCATTTGCTGGTGACACCGCAGTTTCTGGTGCCGTCAGTGCCCGGAGTAGGCCAGACTTCTCACCCAGTCCTCCTGGCTGAAACCTTTCCATGACTTCGAGCATAATGGAGGCCGCTGTCAGCTTCCGGTTCGCAATGATGTCTGACTTGATTGATGAAGGCAGTGCAGCCAGTAACATGCTCGTTACACGACCCTCAAGCCTTGTTGCATTTGGCTTCACCTGCACATCGACTTCCAGGCGGGTCAATGCATCGGATGACAGCCATACTTTGTAGACTGCGTTGACCTCATTCATGAGTTGCGTCCACCAGCGTGCTGCCCCACCGGAGACATCCCCAATCAGCGGCTCAACCTCCGTGATCCCATCTCCGCACCTGAGAGCCGCCTGAGGTGTGCTTTCATCCGGTAGCTTAGGAAGAGTCACATTGATCGCCCTCAGGCCGTCCTTTGGCTCATCCTTCGCTCTGGATTACTTGAACCCCACTCAAAATTGGCTCCTCCCCCGTCAGGCTTCTTCATCTCGACCGACACAGGTGGAGGTGGTGGAACATAGTCATGGCCTGGTTGCTGTCCATCTACATGCATCCACAGCCCCTCTGACTGCTGCCACACTGGTGCCCCATGTCCACCATGCTTGGTTTCATGGGTCTACATTCTGCTTTTCAGCTCTTGTAGTTCTCGCTCAAGCCACTGAAGACGAGCAACTTGAAATCGGCCTGGACCATTACCTGGTGCACCTACACCATTCATTGCAGTCCACTTGCCGCTCTCCAACTCCCGTTAGAGCCGAGTCTTTGTGGGCCTTTCTCCATATCCTCACCAGCACTGATTGCACAGCCGCCGTCATCCATGGACTTTTCTTTTACATTCTCCTGGTCCACGTCAAGACTCAGCAGATCCAGAAGATCGTGGGCATCGGAAATCATCTCCTCCGACTCACCAACTCCGCTCACACCTGAGCCACCCTCAGGAACCAGTGGAAGGTCCTCTGGTGTTGCTCGTTCTAGTGTGAACCGCTCCTGGAGTTCTCGCGACCAAAACGGGTTTGCCATGGCAGCCAACAACCAGTCCACACACACTGTGGATCTGGGTGGTCTTAAAAAACCGTTGGGTTCATAACTTGCAAACACAGGCAGAGCTGCGCACGTCTTTTCCTTGTGCAAAAAGGGCCTTCGGTAAGCGACATGATTTCACGTCTAGTTCTGTTCGCAAAATGTGAGTGCTATCGTTACAAAAACAACAGGATGATGAGAATGATGTCGACCATGGACCAGAAGATATTGGATGTTGCCCAAAAAGAAATTAGATAGTAACAGCATAAAAAACACATAAATACGTATATATTTATATATAACAAAACTATTTTTGTGGGGCAGCTGGGGTTGATTAATAGGGGAAGGTTTCTGGCCAGGAATTAGTTTAGTTGGGGGATGTCAAGGTGGACATCCAGGTTTTAAATTAGTTTAGTTTTGGGGGGGTCGAGCAGGGATTGATTAATAGGGGGTGGTTACGTAATCTTGTGTGCGCATTACCCTGATGCATGCCGGCGTGCAAATGCCAACCTGCATGAACTCATGACCCAGCCCTTGTGGCGTCATACTCAGTTACTCAGTGAGTAGCCAATCCCTCATCTTGGCCTTCCTCATGTGCACCGGAAGGCTCATCGTCCCACCTCATCAAAACCCATCCCTCAAACCGACCAGCCTTTGAATCCAGTGCCTCCACCTATCCTGCACTTGGTCACCTCTTTCATCCATCCTCCTGGCTGGCTGAGTGTGGCAGGCCTCATGCTCTTCAGAGATGGCCATGGGCCATGAACTTTTCATCCAGCGCCTACCCTCCTCATCAAGCTGCCTCATGAACATTTTCCCATTGTGTGCCATCACCAAAACCTCGTGGGTCCTATCAGCACCCATCAGTCCTTTCCTATCGGCCATCGACCCCATCATTCTTACGAACCTTCATGGTCATTTCGACAAACCCTCATGGCCTTCCCAACCACCCCAAGCTCCTTGTTTCGTTCACCGCCCTGGCCTCAAGGTGTTCCCTCTCCCAGTTAGTTGGCTCGTGAACTTATGAATTGGGGTGTGGCCGTGCATTGCATGTCGTCTAGTCTAGTTTTGATGCTCCAGAATCTCCGGGGCCCGGATCTGGTTGTTTGTAAAGGTGTTGTGTTAGACCATGTGACCGTGACCACAGTTTAGGCCTCGAGATTTGCACCGGTTCGGCGGGGAAAAAGGCATATTACAACCCACAATCTTTCAACTGTTTCTTATCGAAAAAGAAATCGAACAGGCTAAATTGCACGACTTTGCGGTTTTTTTGATGCTGGTTAGTTTTTGACTGCTTATAACATTTTAAGACATGACTGACACAACACAGGCAAGGTATGCTATAGTCAATGCTAGCCGTGTTGGTTGTGTGTGATGTGCATAGGCCACTTGAACTTCTACAATTTGGTATGACCACCAGGTTTGAGCACGCCGCAGCGTGAAGCTCTTTTGTTTTTTGTTGGCGTGCGCCACCTTGCAATGATAGCCCACCCAGTCATTCAGGAGGCTACTGTATATAGACTGGCTGATCACCTTGCTAAGCGCCCAATGCCAAGCAGCTAGTGCCAAACACCCAACTTCTACTACCACATTTGCAGAACATTTTGGAGGTACTCCGTGGTAATCTTCCGGCGGTGTTGGCCAAAGCCATTCCACTTGGCATGCCATGGAGACCACAGTGGAGCCTCCTCGCCGACGAATGTCCTCGGACCTTCGCAGCATCAGCTCGCCCTCAGCAGGCATACAGTGCTACTGTATCATTCGTTTGACCGCAGGCCCCCTTTTGTTTTCCTGACTGGTGAGCAGCATCGCTTGCAGCAACAGTTTGGTGCGGGAACCCTGTGGCAGGCGAAACCTGTGAAGCGCAGGCAGGGGTTCAAGTTGGGCAGTCGCGGGCACGCTATTGTAGTGTTTTCCGGGAGGGGTTCGTTGTGTTTTGAGAAATATAACTGCATGGAAGAGGAATGGCACCAGCACGGTCTTCAATCATGTACTGTACGGCATTTGGTAAGTGACCGGTAAGTGTAATTACTAAACATGAACAAGGAACTTAAATCTCTAACAGCCTAGAAATGGACAACGCTCGTGCAAGGAGTTCTCAAAGGAGACGTTTGCGCTCTTTGGCGACGAGATTGTTGGTGCAAAATGTGAGCCAAGGGAAGGACTCAACTCATTCGGGCCGAGACATTGATTCAACAAGCGCCAGATTGGTGTGACAGCGCCTCATAAAGATTCATGAAAATCATGAACCATGCTGCAATGCTATGAGTAACTCCGAGTGCTGCTGCCTTGTGAGAACTTGTTTGCCTCGCAGGATTCCAGAATAAGGTGCATGAGCTTCTCCGTGATTTTGATGAGTCACTTGGCGCATTTGTGAATTCAACTTGCTTGGGCACTGGAAGGCATGATCTGACTTTGGTTCTTCCTGACAAACGTCAGGCTTCGCAGGCCGTCCTTGCGGAAGAATCTCTCTTGTCCATTCTCGGGGCGCCCGAGATCGAACCATGGCAAAAAAGGGGGAAAAACAGAACCAAATGGCAGCTTTGAGGGGCGGGGTATGGGCGGTATAGGTATAGGTCCAGTCAAGTTCCATTGTTTGTATGTGCAGTCACCGGCGTGCTAATGTTGGTTGCTGCAACCACCGCGCACGGCCGAGCTAGGTGTCTAGATAGACATAGCAGATGTACAAAGGTTCAGTGCGGTGATTCACAAGTTCGCTTTGCCGAGGCAGACTGAAGAAAGCTACTTGACCTGGATTACTCCAGATATCTCTCGAGATGTTGCAAGACAGTTTGGTAGGGCTTAGCGGGTTTTGTGTGGCATAGTTTTGTCAACCTCGTGCCCTCAACTCGACTAAGGCCCTTTGTCTTTTGCCCGCAGGCAGAGGCACTGTGTGCGGTTTTCAGCTCGATGTGGGTGTCCTGTACGAATGTGTTTCCGGAGTCTGAAGGGCTGTTGGCAGGTCAGAAGGCTACGCAAGCGAAGGCGTGAAAGCTGGAAGAGCAAGAGGCTCTTCTTGCTTGAAGGTGGGATCTGAGCATTTTGCCTTGACTCAGGGCCCTGACTCAGGGGTGAGGTAAAACAGTTGTAATCTATCCAGCATTTATTGTTGGAGCGCCTTCGGCAAGGGCTTGTAGGTGAGATTGTAATGACATATATATATATTGGTAAGCCCTTATAATGCTAAACATATCAAAATGAAAACTGGTGCTTACAGGCTGTAAAATTGGTGCATTTCCTGGTGTGTGGTCTGGTGTGTGGCAATGTTTGTCAATTGTGTATGGTTTTATATTTATCAAGGTCGACATAAAAAGTTGTGCAAACCTGGGTGTTGAGACGAATGTGGCTTCATTGAATGGTGAAAGGGCGGTGCTAAACCTGGTGTTGAAATGGATGTTGATGAATTGAATGGTCAAAAGATTGCGCAAAAACTGGTGTTGAAACAGAAGGGGCTTCATTGCATGGTCCAAGGAGGTGTAAAACTTAGTGTCGATAGTGTCGAAACAACCGTGGAGTCCCAAATCAAAGCACCAGAGATGAAATACAAGATAAATAGTAGATCAGCGCTTTGAGATGCGCTATGCTTTTTCCAGATTTGCAGTGAATGCTTGGACCGCTGCCCGGCAGGCTTGTCTTCATACACGCGCAGAAGATTTAAAGTCAAAGTCAAATGATGTGTTCCCACATGCATGTGCCGGACAAATGTTCCGGTTTTAGTGATATGATATGATATGTATGATAAGATACGTTGTACTGTGTACGGTACCAGAAAAATCTTGCCCGAACTTGCTTCCGCTTGACGCATTAGCAACGCCTGCCATGTTGGCAAATTTATATCGGCGGCAGAGTCATGACCGATCCAGAAGCCCCAGCAGCTCTCGAAGAGGTCGGGAAGAGGTCGGGAAGAGGTCGGGAATAGGTCGGGAAGAGGTCGGGAAGAGGTTGGGAAGAGGTCGGGAAGAGGTCGGGAAGAGGTCGGGAAGAGGTCGGG